TGAGATCCTAGTACTCTTGACAAAAACTAACTTTTGGTCACAATTTTAAATGTACTGAAATCTGGCCTACTTCTTTTGTAGTCATTCTCACATGTACTAAGATGGGACACAGAGCCTTACCTCAGGTATGGCGGGGCTCTTCATAATTAAGTAAAGTGCTCTAGTTCTGAAGCTGATCTTTGCTTTTTAAACATCATTTTACAAAGCTTACATAAATTGTTGCTCAAGTTCACATAAATATCAGCTAACACAATATGATATCACATCTAAAACATGAACTAAAGGCTAAAAGCTTTTAACCTTTTGTAGAAAAGTGGCAAAGTACTTTTGTGTTTTACAGTGTTAACCTTTACACAGATTAGGCTCTCATTAACTTAAAAATATACTTAAATTTTACCTCAGTGTAAAAAGTAACATAAAACTTTGCACATCCTATTGATAACAGGTCCAGTTTTAGAACATCAAATGATATAAATAAATCTCCAATGTGTTTTTCATTTAAGCCTAAAATTACCATACAACTTTAGAACACCAGCTTGATATAATGCTCTTTTAAAGCTTCTACCTTACAGACTTGTATACCTGGAAGATACGAACACCTTTAATAGCACAACAATCACATTAATGTTTTTATATTAACCAAGTTTAGCTCTTAAAGAAATAACATATTACAGTATTGCAAAATAACAGTTGTTGTTTAACCATAGTTGTAAAATTTTTAATTTCTTTAAGATTACTTCTCAAAAAACTTACATATATAATCAACTTACACAGACCTTTATCATTTTCTTAAATCTATATAGCCAATGTACACAGACCTGCTTCATCACTTACTTAAACCCTCTTATTTACTTAATTACATAGACTCTCTTATCCAGAAACACATTTTTCTTCTATAAAATCCATACCTAGAACCTTCTAATTTCTTTTTTCCATCTGTTAACCTCCTTTTCTGTTCACATTTTGAAACAAACTTTGTAAATTTCTGAATTTAGGCAGATTATGTCAGACATCAACATTTTATTAGTTTTTTTTTTGATCACCTAGGAAAAATTTATAAGCTTAATTTTAAAGACATATTTACTTTCATCTGTTTACCCAATTTAAATTGAACCGTTTAAATCATGTGAATCAAAGATATTTGGATTCATTTTTTAAAATTTTTCTTGCACGCTCTATATATCTGCCAAATTTCATAAAGATATCATTATTTTCATCTGTTGACAACACATAATACAAGTGTGCACACATAACACCACAGTAAAGGCCTTCCTTGTAGCTTTTCGAAGGTGAAATCTCCATTGCAGTGTTTAAAAATTCCACAGTTGATATCAACACATTATTGCCCATGTCTTAAAGGGCCAGAAACAAATACAAAAAAAAAAAAAAGACACAGGACAGATAGACAGAAGGGAGCTCCAGACTATGGCTGACAGACAGGAACTTTTAAAACCAGATAAGAGAGGAATCTCCAAGTTTCTAACTCCCATTTAATTATGACTCCTACACCAGTGGCACTATAGATGTCCCCACGAGTAGACCAGATGTTCTCACAGAGGGGCAACCAGAAGTGTAAAATCAAGGGTCTCAGTGTGGTGATTTTACTGCATTCAGTGTCTCCTTCTTTTTAATAGAGATGGAGCAATCCTTGCAGTCCAGGGAAGGAAGGAGGGAGTTTCCTGAAGCAAAAGGGGCTTCAGCAGCTGCTGGGAGTCCCTGAGTCCCTCCTTTTACTAAAAGGATTAGCTCCTTTGGTTAGGTCCAATCCCAGACACGCTGGCATATCTCCTAACTTTCCAGTAGTCAGTTCTCAAAAGTTAATCCTCTGTTTGCAGTTGTTTCCAGTGCTAGGCTTCCCCAAGAATGCAGAACAGGGGCTCTTCTAGAGTCCCCTCTGGGGTGCCAAAATTTGTGACTGAAAGTTCGGTTCCTGTCCTCGAAGCCAATTAATGCCAATTTAATAATGAGGACAGGGTTTTGAGAAAAAGAAAAAGGGAGATATCAAAGTTCTTAGATCCCCAGCAGGCATTTCCCACTGTAGTGGGTACACTCAAGCCAACTATGGGAAGAAAAGAAAACATTGCTTCCCTAATCTCATTTAACAAAGGGGAGTAAAGTTTATCAAAGTTCATTAAAACACAGCTAAAAGGGGTGTAAAAGGTGAGAACAGAAAAGCTGGTGGTTCTATTGACTTTTGGTCCCTTACAGGGAAGCAAGAGAAGCATACCAGGGACATTTTCAGGCTAAAATTTAGCTAAAGTTACCTCCACACATCTAAGACAGATTGGAACTTGGGACTTGTCTAAAGTAAAACAATGCCATCACACTGAACAGAGACACAGACAAAAAGACACACAAAGACACAGATTCCCTTTTCAGATTGTCGACAAAAACAGAAGTTGGTGCTGGCCCCAAGCCAACTGGGGCCTTCCCCTCAGACAGATAGATTGGGGGAGTATCCCCCTCAGATTGAGTCTGACAACCCTAGATTGGGAGGTTAGTTCCCTTGTCAGGATGTTGGAGTGAAGGCGGACAGGACAATAGAAACAAACACACATAGCACAAAATTTGCAGCGCGGCCACAGAATTCACAGCACGTTGTGGATTGCTACCCAGAAACTAAAAGCAGAGGCGGACGGAGGATCTGTCAGCTACAAAATACTTTACTAAATACAAAATACTTTATTAAAGGCAATCCACTCATAACTCAGAAGGGGCTGGGGACGTCTCCCACAAACCCCGTCTGCTGCTCTTCGGTGCGTCCACCTGGACCTTTTGCCGACCACAAAATAAAGAACCAGAACCTGCAGGCAACCAGAGTACAGAAAATTACAGATTGGCAATGCCTTTACTTACCAGCCGGGTTTTCATCACCTCTCGATCAGGGTGACTGAGTAGGCTTATAAGGGGAATCCCAGATGAGCCCCCATATGTTATGCTCGAATTCAGGACCCCCAAAAGACCATCAGAGACCAAGATCGATGTAAGCAGCAAAGAGGTGTTATTGCAAGCTAGCTCAGTCCTCCGCACGCACACAGCAACTGATGACGCTGAGAGGCAGATTTCATTTCTTAATCTGTTATAGCAAACTGCCTTTAACTGGTGAGCTTAGCTATTTATTTATTTATTTATTTATTTACTTATTTACTTATTTACTTATTTACTTACTTAATTATTTACTTAGTGGTGCCTGGAGCCTTGTGTGTGCTAGACAGCACTCTACCACTTAGCCACATCCCCAGCCCCATTTTATATTTATTTTGATTATTGATGTCCATAGGCATGTTTCTACCACTTTTATTTTTTCCTTTCTGTTTGTCATGCTTTTTTATGCTTCTTTTTTTGTCTTTTTTCCCTTTTTAAAAAATTTTTAAGTACATATAATGTTCATCATAATATATTTATATATTTGTCATTATCTAGTGTTAAATACATATACTGTGCAGCAAATCATCAGAATTTTTTAATTTTGCAAAATCTTTTCTTAATGTTCTTGTTTTCTTATTTTTATTTTACTTTTCTACTCTTTCTAGTCTTTGGTTGTTGTTTTTAATTTTGCCATAAATATTAAGTGTCTAAATTTAATCTTAAGCTACTCCTCCCCTCAAATAATATGAAGGCTTTTAATTCTCTTATCTTCCCAATATATATGCTATTTTTGACAAATATTTTAGTGATTATAACCTTTACTGTACACATTAGACATTTTATAATGAAATCATTTATCATTTCTTTATATTCACATTCATGTTTACCAGTTTCTTAGCCCTTCATTTCTCTTGCATTAAATTTTCCTTCTAAGAACATTTTTCTTTCTCCTTAAATAAACCAGTAGAAGTTTCCTTAGTGTATATTTGATTTTGGTAAGCTTTGACAATTTTTATTCATATGAAACCTTATACTTGAAAAGTAATTATTTTGAGTATATATTTTAGTTATTTTTGTCTTCTCTTTGGAAATATTTATCAGTGTTCCTATTTCTGTTGTTACTTATATATCTTTTTTTTATAGTGGGGAATAGGTGATTTTTCCTATTTTTGCTGTTTCTTTTAAAGTCTTATTTCTCTAGTGTTATTCAGATTCATATTTTGAATCTATCTGGGTTTGAGTTTCTTTTTCTTTATTCATAAATATGGAGCGGGATGTGTTTAATTTTAACACTTTTTTTCATTTCTAAATGTTGTATAAAGTTCTTTTATAAATCTGCTTGGTTGTTTTTAATAGTCTTTTGTCATTTTCCCATTTCTATAATTTCATTTTTTATTTCTTCAGGCATTTTATGTTTTCTACATAGCATAGCAACTTTATGTTGATATTTGATGGCTCTTAATACCCATATACCTTTGGTATTTATTTTTATTGTTTATGTTCCATTTATGTTTGGTTATGATGGTTGTGTTTTTTGGAAATCTGTAGTTATGAACTCAGATTTTATTGTCTTAATGTGTGAGAAGCCTAAATTTCTTTGAGATTCTTTTCTCTATAGATGTGCTTTTCCTTTTGCTAGGAGGTAGGCAGTAGTACATATCTGAGTCCACTTTAGCCCCTCTAATTCAGAGAGTCTCAGTTTTAGTTTTTTTCTCCTTGCTACTTGGGTCCACGGCTTCGTCTTCATATTTTTAATCCTTTAGGCAACCTTTTTTTTTATCATTTGCAATCATTCAATATACTTTTTTAGAAAACACACCTGTTTATTAAATTTCACTAAATCTTTATTTTGATCATCATATTTCATATGCCTGTATGTTCTACTCAGTTGTAGAAACCAAGTTTAAATCAGCTGCTCCCTTGCATTTTCTACAATGGCATAATAAGTTGAGACTTTAAACAGGGTACCATGCCCCTTAGTATCTGCTCAAAAGTAGTTCATTTCCTTTAATTTTTTTCCTGAGGTAAATACTTTTGGCTCTTCTTGACTTTAAATAATAGCTACTTTGATGGCCAAATTTGGTTTCTAGGTGGCAGAATTGGTAACTTATATTTTTTTTACAAAACTGTAGGAACTAGTCCAGGCTAGTGAGCGATTAAAAAACCAATCCAAAGAGCTGAAAGACGCACACTGTCAGAGGAAACTGGCCATGCAGGAATTTATGGAGATCAATGAGCGGCTAACAGAATTGCACACCCAAAAACAGAAACTTGCTCGCCATGTCCGAGATAAGGAAGAAGAGGTGGACCTGGTGATGCAAAAAGTTGAAAGCTTAAGGCAAGAGCTGCGCAGAACAGAAAGAGCCAAAAAAGAGGTTAGTAGTCAGGCAAATTTCATAGTGCCATGGGATAGTGATTAAAGCTGCTTTTTGAGACTAGTGAAATAATATATATTTCATTTTTTAATTTTTGAAAAATTATTTTATAGTTTGATAATATCATTTTATGTGAAGTCAACATTTGAATTACCTTCCTATTATAAAATAAATTCCCTTGGGGGAAAATATTTTGTTTGAAAAAAGTAATAACCGCAAAATCTGCTCTTTTCACTCTATTTTAAAGCTGGAAGTTCATACTGACGCTCTAGTTGCTGAAGCATCTAAAGACAGGAAACTGCGGGAGCAGAGCGAGCACTACTCTAAACAACTGGAGAATGAATTGGAAGGACTGAAGGTATCTTTTGCTTTCCCTAATTAATATGTTTTTCTTTAGGCTTGATAAGAGTGTTAGTTTCTGTACCCTCTGCAGTATAAAATGGAAATTACCCTTAAACCTGCTGTTCTTAATTTTCATTTTTTTATTCTAATTTGTTATACATATTGGCAGAATGCAATTCATTTCATATTACACATATAAAGCACAATTTTTCAGGACACTGATTGTACACAAAGTATTTTTCACACCATTTTAATTCTCATTCTTACCACAGGGAAAGTGATACAGATTTCCTAAGGCTGAAAAAAAGGGAAGGTCACGTTTAGTGGAGAATAGGAATCTATTAGGAAGGAGTTATAATATTTTTGAGGACTGCTACCTGAATAAGATGTGCTGGTAATCTGTATTAGAGTTGTGGTAAGATATCTAGACTCCTATCTGTCTTATAAATGACTCAGGAGAGGCTCAGACAACTTTGCAGAACTTGGGTTAGTTGGAATGAGATGATAGTAGAGGCAGGCTAACGCATCTCAGCAGTTACTTTTTAAGAGAAATCCTGTGCCATCTCTTGAGTTGGATTACCTAGGTTTAACCTCTGATTTACCAGTTACTGGCTATATAACACTAAACAAAACATTTAATCTCTTCATGCTTTAATTTTCTCATCTTTAAAATCCTGTCTTATTTCAGGAGTACATATATACATTTGTAAGCTGACACATAAGTGCTCAATCATAATTAATATATAATAATAGTATTACATATATCAATGAAAATATTAGAATCAAAGTGAATGTTATCTCAGGAAGTCTAAGTACTCCTTCAATGTTGTTTAGAATTCTATTAATAACTGTAACATAGTTCTTATTAATGACATTCACAAACCTGTCTCCTCACCTAGACTGTAACCTAACTTATTGAAAACATAGGTAGAATATTAACCTGCCCTAGTGCAGAGCCAAATATTTAATACTTGTTTAATAAGTGTACTAAATCATACAAATGGTCAGAACTTTTTCTCTGGTGATTGAATATCAGTGGTTGCAGGTAAAATTCCTCCTCTAGGTTAAATAAAAATATAAACTCTAAGGGCTGGGGTTGTGGCTCAGTGGTAGAGTGCTTGCCTAGCATGTATGAGGCACTGGGTTCAGTTCTAAGCACCACATATAAATAAATAAAATGAAGGTCCATTGACAACTAAAAAAAATCACATATATTTGTCTACTTGTCATTATTGCATTGTTTATTAAAACTGCCTAATAAATAATGCATTTAAAGAATGCAGACCAGGTCCTAGCACATATTAAAGGCTCAGTAAATGCAATGATTATGACCACAGTGTAATTTCTTTAGAGTATTTTTTGAAAGTGGAATTTCTTGGTTAAAAGATACACAAATATAATTTAAAAGCACATTTTGGCTCTTTGAGGATTGTAGGAATTTTTAGTTCATTAGAGTAATTTTCAACAGACTTAAAGAGAAATAGATCTACAATAAGAAAGACTTCAGGGATGGAGTTGTGGTTCGGTGGTAGATCACTTGCCTCGCATGTGTGGAACACTGGGTTTGGTTCTCAGCACTGCATATAAATAAATTAATAAAATAAAGGTCCATCAACAAGTAAAAAAAATTTTTTTTAAAAAGAGAGAGACTTCAGTATATTCGATAGAACATAGAGACATATCAATAGGAAATTGAGCTCTTGTTCAGCATTAAAACTAATGCTGAAAAAGTAAAACTAGGCTTACCAAGTATTTGTAGAAACTTTCATCCAATATCAGTAGAATACACATTCTTTGCAAATGAATTTCCCAAATTCTAGGATATTTATGTTATACCACAAAGCAGTCTCAATTAATGTAAAAAGACTGAAATTATACAAGGTATCTTCTCCAGCCACAATGAAATGGTGCTAGAAATTAATAACAGAAAAATGGAATATTCAAAGATGTGGACATCAAACACTCAAACAGCTCCTAGGTTAAAGAACAAATCATAGGGAATTTACAAAATACCTAAATGAATGAAAATGAAAACACACAACATATCAGAATTTATCGGGTTCAGTAAAGCCAGTGGCTCTTTACTACTGAGCAACATTCCCAGCCATATATGATTTTCTATTTCATCTTGAGTCATTTTAGGTTATTTGTGTCCTAGGAATTTGTTCATTTTATCTAGTTTGCCTACTTTGTTGGCATACATTTGTTCATGGTATTCTCTCTTACTTCTTTTACTTTGCAGTGGTCAGCAATAAAGTGCTCACTTGTTGATTTGCATATTCATTTTCTCTTTCCCTCTCTCCAGTCTTCTAAAGATTTGTCAATTTTGCTGATCTTCTTTAAAAACTTTTGGTTTCCTTGCTTCTATCATTCTTCTAATCTCTAATTATTTATCTCTGCCATACTCTTTTCTATTTCTTTGCTTCTTCATCTTTGAGTTTATTTTGCCCTTCTTCTTATATATCCTTAAAGTAAAAAGTTACTGATGTGAGGTCTTTCCCCCTGTTTAATATATGCATTTATAGCTGTAAATTTCCCTTTTATGATAAAAATTATCAGAAAAATAGGGATAGAAGAGAACATACTCAGTAGAATAAAAGGCATTTTTTAAAACCCCACAGAATATTATACTCAATGGTAAAAGAATGAACGTTTGCCCCTTAAGATCAGGAATGAGGCAAAGATGCCCATTTCGCCAGGCTGTTCAACTTTACTGGAGATTCTAGCCAGAGCAATTACACAAGTAAAAGAAATAAAAGGCCTCCAAATTACAAAGGAAGAACTAAAATGATCCACATTCAAAGGTGATACAATCCTACATTTAGAAAATCCCAAGGAATAAAGAAGAAACATAATAGAGTTTATAAGTAAATTTACCAAAGTTGCAACATACAAACAAGGATAACACACAAAAATCAGTAGTTTTCCTATAAGCCAGCAGTGAACAATTTGCACAGGAATTTAAAATAGCAGTGTCATTTACAATAGCATCTAAAAGAATAAAATGCAATGAAGTGAGTTTAAACAAGCTAGTTAAAAACTTATACATTGAAAATGATAAAACATTGTATTAAGGAATTAAAGAAAACCTAAATAAATGGAAAGATACCGTCCGTGTAGGAGGACTTGATATTGTTAAAATGAGAATACTACCCAACATGATGTACAGCTTCAACTTAATTCCTGTCAAAATTACAATAGCCTTTTTGCACACATTTTCAAATTCATTTGGACTTTCAAAGGAGCTGAACATCCAAAAAGTCTTAAAGAAGGAAGATAAAGGTGAAGGAATTCACACATTTTGATTTTACTACTCATTATAAAGTCAAAGTAACCCAGGGTGGTGCTCTCATAAAGTTAGACATACAGATCAATGGCATATAGTTATGAGTCCTGAAATAAATGCATGAATTAATGGTGAATTGCATTTTGCAATTACAAAGTCTGTTCAGTGGGGGGAAAAATAGTCTCAACAGTTATATTGGTATGACTACATATCCAACATGCAAAACAATGAAGTTGAATGCCTTCCTAACGTAATATACAAAAATTAACTAAAAATGAATCAACAACCTTAATGGTAGAGCTGTAACAATAAAACTCTTAGAAGAACTTAGATTTGGCAATGGGTTCTTAGAAAGGACACTGAAAATATAAGCATCAGAATAAAAAATAAATCGGACTTTATCAAAATAAAGTTTTATGTGCATTACATTAAAGGCCGTTTTCAAGAAAGTGAAAAGACAGCCTGGTATAGTGGCACATGCCTGTAATCCCAGTGGTTGAGAGGCTGAGGCAGGAGGATCACAAGTTCACAGCCAGTCCCAGCAATTTAGTGAAGCCCAAAGCAACTTAGCAAGGCCCTGTCTCTAAATAAAATATAAAAAGGCCTGAGGATGAGGCTCTGTGGTCAAGCGTCCTTGGGTTCAGTCCCCAGTACCAAAAAGAAAGAAGAAGAAAGTGAAAAGACAACTGAAGGGAATATAAGAATATATTTGCAGATAATTCGTCTGATAATGGTTTTAAATCCAGATTATATAAAGAATTCATACAGCCCAACAATGAAAAGGCAACCTAGTACCAAAAAAATGGGCAAAGGTCTTCAATAGATATATCTTCAAAGGAGATATACAAATGGTCAGTTAACATATGGAAAGATGCCTAGCATTATTAATTATTAATGAAATGCAAAATACAACCAAATGAGATACTATTGCATATCTACTAGGCATAGCTAAATTAAAGAGAAATAGATAGAAAGTAAGTATTGGCAAGGATATAGGGAAATTGGGACCTTTGTTCATAGTTGGTGGAAACATAAAATTATGCAGCAACTTTTTTTTAATATTTTTTAGTTGTAGTTGGACACGATATCTTTATTTTGTTTATTTATTTTTATGTGGTGCTGAGGATCGAACCCAGGGCCTCACATGTGCTAGGCAAACGCTCTACCACTGAGCCACATCCCCAGACCCTATGCAGCTACTTTTGAAAATAAATTGTTGGCTCCTCAAAAAGAAACAGAAACCATATGACTCAGCAATTATACTTACGGTATATATCCAAAATATTTAAGAGCACATACTCTAGTTTTATATCTTACACTGGTGTTCAATGAAGCATCATTACAATAGTCAAAAGGTAGAATCAATTAAAGTTTGTATCAAGCAACGGTTAAACTAAATGTGACATGTAGATAATGAACAATGAAGAGGCATGTATCAGAAGGCTGTTCTGATACATGACACAACATGATTGAATCTGGAAAATATTATTCTGAGTGAAAGAAGTCAGACACAAAAGGACAGATAATGTATTATTCTACTTTTATAAACTATCTAGAATAGGCAGTTTCTTTGAGACACAAAGTAGAAGAGAAATTACCAAGATCTGGATAAAGGTAGAATCAGGGAGTTAATTTCTAACAGTTGCAGAATTTCCTAGGGGATGATGAAAAAAAAAATTTAGAATGATATATTGGTAATGTTCACACAACATTGTAAATGTAATTAATGCCACTGAATTGTACAAAGAAGATGATTAACATGTAAAGTTTTATGTAATATCTATTTACTCCTTAAAAAGTTAATAATGTAATATATCATCTGGGCATGGTAGTAAGTACCTGTATTCCCAGTTCTCAGGATCTTATGTAGGAGGATCACTAGAGCCTGGAAGTTTGAGATCAGTCTGGGCAACACAGTGAGATTTGATCTCAAAAAATAAAAAGTAATAATAGCGTAGTATATCAATAACCAAAAATAACCACATTTTAAACCTTAAGTGGGTGAATTGCTAAGATACATCAATTTCGATAAAAATGTTTTTTAAAGAATAATTGTATGTTGCTAGAGTTTGTTTTGTTTTGTTAAACCTTATTTTATTAGTTTTTGCTAGGCATCCTATTACAGAGTACCACAGAGTGGGTGGCTTAAAAAAAACATTTATTGTCTCAGTTCTGAAGGCTAGAAGGTTAGCATAGTGTGCTGACAGAGTTGGCTTCTGATGGTGTGCTGGCACTCTTTGGCATTCTTGACTCGTAGATATACCACACTGATCTCTATCTTCATGTTCACATGATGTTTTCCCTATGTACATGCCTTTGTATCCTTTTTATAAGGGAGGTATTCATATTGGAGTTGGAACCACCCTAATGACCTCGTTTTAACTTGATTACCTCTGAAAGACACTACTTTTAAATAAGGTCACATTTGAAGTACTCATGATTAGATCTTCAACATAGAAATTTTGGGGAGACATAATTCAAACAGTATCAGTTGTAATTTTTCAAAACTCAACAGTCTGCTAAGCATTTTATTTACTAATATTCACATAGTCAGTTTTCAAACATACCTTGGTTTTACTTTTGTAGTCACCTAACTGCCATGAACACTTTTATGTACTGTTCATTATTTTCTTAGAAAAGACACTTAGAAATGAAATTAGTAGATTAGTAGATTATTTAAAGGTATTTCATAGATACTACAGAGCTTTGTAAATTTGAGAGGCCCAAAAGTTGTTACTGCTTTCTTCATTTCTTGGTTTATATGGATTATTAATTATTTTATCTTTAAGTTATTTGCCCAATTAATTTGTAGTTCTAATGTTTTTACTTACAGTTTGAATAAATTCTTTACTGAGTAAAAATTTTACTTTTTCTTAGACTTTTAGAAACTTTACCAGTTTATCATTTGCCTTTGAGTTTTGTTCTGGTTTATTTTAAAAATTATACAAGAATCATTTATTTGTTTGTTTGTTTAAGTATTGGGAATTAAATCTAGGGGCACTTGACCACTGAGCCACATCCCCAGCCCTTTTTATATTTTATTTAGAGACAGGGTTTCACTGAGTTGCTGAAGCTGTCTTTGAACTCATAATCCTCCTGCCTTAGCCTTCCCATCTACTGCGATTATGGGCATGCACCACCACACCCCAGTAGAATTGTTTTATCTTTTTCTTGATGTATCTTCTATTCCTTCAAAACCTGGCTTGTGCTTTTCTTTGTAGAATTTTCATACATATTTAATTCTGCTTTTTTTGGATGTTTCTGTGGGATTTAAAAAATATTTAAATATTTAATCTGGAATTTGTTTTGCTGTATGTTATTAAATGAGACCTTTTCTTTCTTATATTGCTAGCTGGTGATTGATTCCAGTTCCATTTATTAATTAATCTATTCATATCTTTCTCCTTCTCCCTTCCCTTCCTTCCCTCCCTCCCTCCTTTTCTTCCTTCCTTTCTTCCCTTCATCCCTCCCTCCCTCCTCAGGGATTGAAACTCAGGAGTGCTTAGCCACCAAGACTGAGCCACATACCCACCCCATTTTATTTTTTTATTTTGAGACAGGGTCTTGCTAAGTTACTTAGGGCCTCACTAAATTACTGAGACTAGCTTTGAACTTGCAGTCCTCTTGCCTCAGCCTATAGGCCTGCACCACCGCACCCACCTCATTTTCTTTATCATTGATTAAAGAATTTGTATATGTTGAATTAAACTATTTTGGAGCAGGAGATATATTACAATGATACTTTTTAAAGACTTTCAGTATATTTTAATGTCTGAAAAGAAAACCCCCCCTGCACACACTTCTTTTCCATTTTTTCTAAGACTTTGATACTTTTAATAGCTTATTCTTGCCCATAGACTAGAAACATTTATTTCCATCTCTTCCTATTCTACTGTACTCCTCCCCACATTTAAAAAGGACTTTTTACATAGGAGATAATTTGAAAAATATTGAATGGACAATTGTGATTTTTTTCCTTTCAAATACTTGGGACTTAATTTTTTTTTCAAATCTTTCATATCCTTTATAAAGACTTATAGTTTTTCATACATTAGGAAATTTCTCAGTATTATCTTGAATATTCTTCTTGAATATGTATATATTAGTATGTGGTGATTTTTGTTTTTGCTTTTGAAAATTTTTGTTGCTTATTTTAGTACCTAGAAATGTTACTGATTTGTGTTATCTTATATATCCTTCTGTTTTACTGACCTTTCTCAATTTTAATACTTTCTAATTTTCTGGGTAAACGACTAAATGGGAATTATAGTGATGTCATTTTATAATATTGTTAACTGTTTCACATGCTTGTCAGACAGTATTTAAAATCAATGTTATAAAAGAATAGTAATGGGTGACATCCTTTTTCTTTATATATTTCTGATGTTTCACCATAAATTATAAAACTGCTACTTTTTTTTTTACATTAGAAGATTTAGTGAACTTTTAAAATGCTTTTATTGTGGGACTTAAGAGTAGCATTTGGAATTATTATTATATTTTACCAGTTAGTTTTGGGCTGGGGTAACCACTTAGAAAATAATTTAATCTGCAAAATAATGCATTTATTAGTAAGTTTGCTTTACTAATTTCATTACCTGCAATCTATTCTTTTGTCATAGCTTGTTGGTTTTTTTTTTACTTACAATTTAATTTTGTTTTTCTACATTTTATTTGGCTCTTTTGTAATTTTAGCAATAAGTGTTAGACATCTATAATTTTCATTGGTGGTATCTTTGTTAGATTTTTATTTCAGGGGAATTTTTCCTTGAAACTTTTTGTGCATGTTGTTGTCATCTCAACAGTTAACTGAATAGAAAAGCAAGGTTAAAGTGTTCCTTAGGTGATTAGAAAAATAAAAGAGTCGTATAGGTCAGTAGTTAGTGCTATACGTTTATTTTTAGAGAGAAGCTTTTTTTTTTTTTTAACAGAGAAGCTTAAAAGCAAGAAAGCAAGAATCTGACTTGCTCTGTTTCTTCTCAATTTAAGCAGTTTTGCATGCCAGGCTGTCTCAGAAACAACTGGACAGTTTGTATCTAGCACATGATAAGTATTTTCTTAATAAATAGTTAAATATGCAGAGGACCGTTTCCTCTGGTCTACATCAGCTCCTTTTTTATTTTTACCTTTTATACCTCACAGAGGAAGGAGACAGGACATTTTTGTTCAGCTTTAAATCAATCACCATTAACAGTTTTACAACTCTTATCAGTGCCTTCAAAAAAGGAACAGGCCCCCATCTCTTTATTTACTTGTTGTCTATAAACCTACACACATAGGTTCTTTTAGTTTTAAAAGTTTTTTGAGAAATAGTCAGGATAGAACAAAGTATGAGCTTTGGAAGTTAAAAGCTCAGGAAATCTTATGGTCATAATCTAGTCTGTTTTTGCCTACCCTTTGGGTTGTAGCAAAAAGAATCTTTGGACTTTTATCATTTCAGCCTAATTTTTAAAAATATGGATTCCAACCAAAGTTCTCCTCCTTCTTAATGTCCTACCTGAAACCAACAGGTCTACCATTTTTTTCTAGCATAAATATGAAGGAGGTGTTTGTTTGGGCCTTTGTCATTTTCCCCTGGATCATGCGGAAGTCCCCTTTCTTTTCTTTTGTACATTCTAGCTTTATCGTCCTCTCCCCTATTTTAATCTTTTTAGAGACACAAATATGATTAAAACTTTCTAACAGTTTCTTATCAGATAAAAGACTTAGACTTTTCCTCACTCATACATCAAAAATAATTCTACATAGAAATTTTAATGTAAAATAAGAAATCTTATAAGTACCAGCAGAAGAATTACAAATACAAAATCTTGGTATAAAGACTAAAAAAAAAAAAAAACCACACAGACCATAAAGGAATGTAAACCAAGGAAAATATTTGCAATGTATGACTGACAAATAATAGCTTTAAATACAGAAAGAATATTATTTTTGTTTGAGAATATGCAAAAATGATATACATTTATGTGCATAGTCCCTTATAGAAAGGAGTTATTATTTTATTATAGATGAACTAATCTTGTGTTATTACTTCTATAGCAAAAGCAAATTAGTTATTCACCTGGAGTTTGCAGCATAGAACATCAGCAAGAGATAAACAAACTAAAGACTGATTTAGAAAAGAAAAGTATCTTTTATGAAGAAGAATTATCTAAAAGAGAAGGAATACATGCAAATGAGATTAAAAATCTGAAGAAAGAACTGCATGATTCAGAAGGCCAGCAACTTGCTCTCAACAAAGAAATTATGGTTTTAAAAGACAAACTGGAAAAAACCAGGAGAGAAAGGTATGAGTCACATTATTTATTCATTCAATAAAAATGATTTGGGTATTTGTTTTGTGAAAAATGCTGGAGATAGACAGGCAATAAGCATGTCCTAGTTCTCAAGGACACCAAAGTTAAGATTAGTAAGTAGAAAATTACAGTACAGTGTAGTAGGAAAGCAAATGGAATAAGTTTAGGAGCACACACAGGCACAAGAAGTAATTTTGGTACATTTAGGATTTCTGGACAAAACTAATTCTTAGCTGAGAGCTAATAAGTAAGTAAAAAGATGTAGGAAGGGAAGAGTGTTCAAGCAGAGGTTGCAGAATGTGCTAAGATCCAAAGAAAAAGTGGAGCCTAATACGTTCAGAAACTGAAAGCTATTTATTATTATAGAAGCATAAATAGAAGGGAGTGGTAAAAAATGAGTCTGCAAGGAAAATAAAGCCAAGCTCATGAATAAATGTAATGCATTTGCTATTTAAGGCAAAGCATGATTTTTAATTTCTGTATTTGAATGATCACTTAATAATGGGTAAAGAATGATTTGAAAAGTGCAGACAGGTATAGGAGTTCAGCCATGAGAAACGAGATTATGGATGTTAGGTAGTGATAGAGAAGTGGGAGAGAATTGAATGGATTCAGAAGTTCTGCTGAGAAGACAGAACATGTAGGACATAATGATCAGCTATGAGAAGTGAGGGAACAGGAGAAATTTTCCGTAATGCTCAGATATCTGGATTTCAGGCACAGTGGTACATGCTTGCAATCCTAGTGACTTGAGAGGCTAAGGCAGGAATATCATAAGTTCAAGGATCAGCCTGGGCAACCTAGTGAGACCCTGTCTCAAAATAAAAAAATAAAAAGTACTGGGTAATGTATATCAGTGATAGAATGCTCCTGAGTTTAATCCTCAATGTTGTCAAAATAAGCAAAAAAAACAACACTTTAGGCAACTAGATACATATAATTGTCATTCTTAACTTATACTGGAAGCCCAAGTTTATTCAGTTTGGTGCATTCATTGACTCAATAAAATTATTTTAAGAACCTACTATGTGCAAAGCATTGGTGTATATACTAGGATATAGCAACGAGCAGACAAAGAAAATCCTGATCTTTATGGAGTTTTCCTTTAGTATGGTAAAAGACAAAGAAGTAAAATGTAGAACACATTAAATAATGATAAATGTTAAAAACAAAAAATAAAGTAGGAAATGACTATTAAGCATTAAGAGGACAAATTAAATTACATATGTATATACATATGCATGCACATATATTTTAATATATATAGACTGGATAGACAGATATATATTATATTTTATATATGTTTATATATGTTTTGTATATATTTACATGCCAGGGGAAAATATACTGAGAGGTGATTTCTGAATTAAGACTAAGGAAATTTAGGTCAATGCTTAAAAGGTGTATGAGAAGATCATTATACACAAAGAATAAGTCTATTAAAAAATTTGTAGGAAGCTGGTATGGCTTAAGTATAGGCAAGGGCAAAGAAGACTAGAAATGAGTCAAATAACAGGAGTCGGGTTTTTTTTAAGCCTTATAAGTCATATATTGGTGATTTATTGTAGTTTACTTCAGGAAACTTGTTTCTCATCAGGATTACTATGACTCCTGGGTTAAGAATAGTCTGAATTAGATAAGAGCAAACTATAAGACTATCTAGAAGGCTGTTGTAATAATCCAGGCAAAAGATGATAACTCAGGCTGAGGCTGGTGGCAAAAGGGATAGTTAGAAATGTTCAAATTTCAATATTCTTTAAAGGTAAAGGGTAATGGTATTGGTTGATGGATTAGATATGGAATGAAAGCTAAAGAAAGAATCAAGGATGATCCTGTGGTTTTGACAAGAGCAATTGGAAGACTATAGTTATCACTCAGGAAGACTACAAGAGAAGCAAGTTTCAGATGAGTGTATTATCAAGAGCTTGTTTAATCGGCTGGCTTGCAGATGTTTGACCTTCAGGTAGATATGTGAAGTAGGCTTATATATAGAGCACCCTGGATTTCAGGAGTGGAGATATAATTCTGAGAATATCATTCACGTGATATATAAGCCATGGAGACAGAATGATATCATTTAGATAGAAAGGAGACTCTAGAACTGAACACTGAGGCATTCCAATCTTTAGAAGTTGGGAGATGAGGATGAACTAGCAAAATGGAAGGAGAAAGAATAGTCAAAATGATATGAAGTAAACCAAGCAAATTTAGTATCCTGGAAGCCTGCTGAAGAAACTTGTCAACATGTCAAATAAAATGATGTACAAATCAGGTAAAATAAGGACTACACAGTGGCATTTGAGTTTAGTAATATGAAGGTCATTGGTGACTTTGATAAGAATAATGTCAGTGGAAAAATAGGGACAAACATCCCACAGTGGGATCAAGAAAGACTTGAAAGAGAGCAATTGGAACAGTGTAGATAACAATTGTTAGTACTTGGAGTTGTTACTGCCAAAGTAAGAGGTGAAATAAGAGAGGAGCTGGAGGAGAATTTTCTGTCAAAGAAGTTACCTTGATCCTTGGTTTTTTTTTTTTTTTTTAAGGTAAGAGCAATAAATAGCATAGGTAGGAACGTGTTTATGTGTTGACCTCCCTTGTTGAGTTAGGCATGTTGAATGTGAGGTGTTTTGAACATACATTTGTGGAGATTTTAAGTCAATAGTTTGAAGCCCGTAAAAGCTTCAGAAGTAGATTCAGAGGACCTCAGTATAAGAAATAACTGTAAGCAAATGTTGTGGTTGATGATCTACCTCAGGGAGAACTTAAAGAGAGAGAGGAGACAAGCACCTGAGACAGAATTCCAAGAAGTGCTGGTATTTATGGGAAGAACAGAAGGAAAGGAGTTCACAAAGACAGCTAAAAAGAAGCCCAGGTTGTTGGCTACAAGTCCAGAAAGTATGGTAACATCAAAGGCAAGAGAAGATAGCAGTTCATGAAGGAAAGAACAACATTGTCAACAATAGATTGGATGTGATAATAGTTAAGTCAATAGTGAGTTTTGAGAGAGCAGTTTTGGTTTTATTTAAGTAATGGAGGCAGAAGCCAGGTATTGGTATGGTGGGGAGCAATTAGGTAATGAGAAAGAATATGGTAAAAATTGACATAAATAAATACCAACCAAATTTGTTGTTTCTGCATAAATCTGAAAGAGACTATTGGTGCAGACAATTTTAGTTTGGAGAACACCAACTTGGTGAAGTACTCTCACAAGATTTACATTTCAAAAGGCTTGTTTATTTCTTTTCTTGTGTGTCATCCTTCTTTGATACTTTACTTATTATATTTTGTCAAAAACAGGAAGATCTATTATAACTTAAACAAGGACTATAGTGTTTGCATTATTGTAAACTGGCAAAATAGGCTCATTGAAGATCGATTTCAAGGAAATGTAGCCTGTTTATTTCCATTACTTTACCTTTAAATAAAATTCAAAATATGCTTTAAAAATAAGACTTGTTTACTTGAAGAACATAAATACATCTAATATTTAAAGAAGCATAATGCTTAGCATCACAGTTACACAGATGTCCTTATATTAACTGAGTTCAACTTTTGAAGTAAAAAAAATTTTTTTGGTACCAGAGGTTGAACCCGGGGTGCTTAATTGCTGATCCACATTCGCAGCCCTCTTCTATATTTTATTTTGAGACAAGGTCTTGCTAATTTGCTTAGGCCTCATTCAGTTGCTGAGGCTGGCTTTGAACTTGCAGTCTTTATTTATTTATTTATTTTTAAAGTTTTAGATAAACACGATACATCCATTTTATTTATTTATTTATATGTGGCACTAAGGATCAAATCCAGTGCCTCACACGTGCTAGGCAAACACTAACACTGAGCTACAACCTTAGCTCCTGAACTCGCTATCTACCTGCCTCAGCCTCTTGAGCCGCTGGGATTACAGTTTAAAGTAAAATTTAGAGACAATAGTGTATAGTAACAATAATAACAGTTTTACACGGGTTAGCAAAAATCAAAGAAATGCATTAAATCTCTTATACATTTAGGAAACAAGTGTTAATGATCAGAAACAGACTTAGTCAAAGCAAAAGATGATATATGACAGTTCTTCAAATGGTAGTGTGGCCCTTCTATGTCAGATAAAACATAGAAAAAAAGAGCACTTATTGGTTAAATTGCTGGTAAACCTATATAAACTTTCATTTTTACACACTTTTACATATGTGTAAAGACAAGGCTCATACAAGGTTCTCAGATGTATACATATATCCAGTCACATATTTAGGGGATCAACTATATTGTTATAACCTAAAATAACAGTTTTTTACTTAACCAGTTATGAATCATTTAAAAGACTTTAAAACAGGTACAAACCCTAATTCCTTTAAGACTTAGTTTCCCTAAGTAATAAATCCTAATAGATACAAAGAATTATCTTGATAGATAAGAGCAGATCAGTGATTCAGACTTTGCTTCATATCAGTATGTTAAAATTTAAATAACTTTGTGCTAATTATAGCCAATTTAATTACATACACAAATTTTTTAAGATTTACATTCCACAAACTTTCTGCAACTTATTTAGACATTCTACAACTTGTTTACATCCTTAGTTTTGTCCTCTCTTTCATCTTGGACTTTAGCACAAGAATATTATTTTAGCATACAAAATACTTTCTCATCCAGAAATTTTTTTTAACCTTCTCATTTTTCATACTAAAATATATTTCCACACTTATAATTTTTTATATCTCTTTTCTAATTTCAGACCCTTTCTTAAATTCATATTCTGAAAAAATCTATATGAGTGTTATCTGTGTATTTAATTTACTCAACAGATTTCATCCCAGGAAAGGGATTAGACAATCTGGCATATATAAAAACTGTTCTTTGGGCTGGGGTTGTGGCTCAGCAGTAGAGTGCTCACCTAGTGCATGTGAGGCCCTGGGTTCGATCCTCAGTACCACATAAAAATAAACAAATAAAAAACACAAAGATATTTAAAAAAAATAATAGTTTCCATTTAAAAAAAAAAAAACTGTGCCTTAATCTTTTTTTACCCCCTGTACTCAGGCATTTAAGAGATTGGAATGCAGGATACTTTTGAGCCTGACCTGTCTCTCTTATAATCATTAAAATGCCATCAACTTTAAGTGAGTTCCCCACTGTCAGTCATACACAGTCTCCTTTTGTACCTTTTTTCTTACACTAGGCATATTGATATTAAATGGAGTAGTCCCTTTCTATCCTTTTTTTCAGTCTTCCTTGAAGATCCCTTTGCAGAAGCTACCAACAAAACAGATTGACTTTAGTTTCTGTGTTTTTCTTTTTGGGGTGCAGTTGTTTATGGCTGCCAGTGTCCCCATGCATTTAGTTTGATAGGATACTGTTACAGCAAGAACTGCTCTGTCCCAGTGATGGATATCCCCTGATATTCACTGGGGTGTTCCATCAGATAAAAGGGGAGATTTCCTGCACCCAGGAAATAAAGCTAATAGTGCTGGAACCTACCACCATGTCCTCTGTAGCCAGCAGCCTCCACCACTGTGGGAAAAATGGGCTACAAGGTAAAGCAGAGGCCAGATTCTCTTTGCCCATTTTTTCTATAGCCTGGACAACTTTCCTAGGATTTTAAAAATTTTCTTCTTAGCCCAGGGCCACTGTGTCTGACCCACAGGGAGATGATCTTCAGCTACATGGAGCCAAGTTGAGAAACAATAGGGGGACTACCATCACTGGGTTGAAAGGATTTAAATCTTTTTTTAACCCTTTCTTCTGGTTTCCTACTATCCTTGCACACCAGAGGCAGTGCCTTTTTGCATCGTCAACCTAATTTCTAAATGTTAAGACTCCTTATCATGCAACTCATCATTGCTCATACATACAGAATCTCTTCTATATACTACTTCTGACAGACCAACTCCGCCTGAAAGATTGTATAATAATCCAGAAAAACCATTCAAAGGCCAGAGAACAGATTGTGTTATGTAGAACATCTTTCTCTTGGACAGACCTATAGGTGGCCCATTCAGCCAAGATCTTTCTTCCCAAGAGACCACTGATAAGATCTAGGTAGCATGGCACATGTCTTAAAGGGCTAGAAACAGATACAAAAAAAGAAACACAGGAGGCAACCAGAGAGGATTTCCAAAACCATAGCAGATAGGGACCTTTAAAATGGACAGACCTGCACATACAGAATTTCTCCCACTTCCTTTACCTCTGACAGACCAAATTCATCTACAAGATTGAACAAAAAAAGAAACACAAAAGCGGACAACCAGGAAGGATTCCCAAAACCATGGCAAACAAATGGGAACCTTTAAAATATACCAGCCAAGATATTTTCCAAGAGATTACCTATAGGATCAGCTCAGTATTGCCCATGTCTTAAAATGGGCAGTAACAAGCTGGGTACAGTGGCATAGTCCTGTAATCCCAATGACTCAGGAGGCAGAGACAGGAGGATCACAAGTTCAAAGGCAGCCTCAGCAAAAGCAAGGTGCTAAGCAACTCAGTGAGACCCTGTCTCTAAATAAAATATGAAATAGGGCTGGAGATGTGGCTCAGTGGTTGAGTGCCCCTGAGTTCCATCCCTGGTACAAAAAAAAGGCAGTAACAGATACAAACAAAACCACAGACAACCAAAAGGTCCCAAACCCAAGGCCAACAAACAATGAGAACCTGGAACCGACCAGAAAGGAGTAAAAATCCCTGGATTCTTGAGTCCCATTTAACCATGACTCCTACACCAGCAGCACCACAGTTATCCCCACAAAGAGGGACTATATGTTCCCATGAAGAGCAACCAGATGTGTAGAGTCAAGGGTCTTGGTGTGCACACCAGGGGATTTACCAGATGGCCAAGGGTATTGCAGCTTTATTGCATTCGGTTTCCTTTTTCTCAAAATGGACCAAGATGGAGCAACCTGTATTGTTCAGGGAGAGAAGGCAGAGTTCCCCCAAGCAAAAGGAGCTTCGGCAGCTGCTGGGACAGTCCCTCAGTTCCTTCCTTGACTCACAGGAATAGCTCCTCAGGTTTAACCGAGGGAAATTTACTTGTCTCTCAACTCTCTGGCAGTTGTCTCTCAACAAGTTCACCAGTGCCTTGCATCCTACCAAGGAAGTGGGCTGCTTGGATAGTCAGGCCTGCCTAAGAAACCTGTAGTGGGGGCTGCTTTCAGGTCCCATCCAGGGTGCCAAATTTGAAAGCTCAGTCTTATCCCTGATGCCAGTCCAATAAGGAGGACATGGTTTTGTGAAAAAGAAGTTATATTGTTTTGGTAGCAAAAGAAAAAGCATGGGAAACTCCATCCCCAGAGGCTGTGATACTTGTTACATGAAGTTACTTTGTTTAACTTTAGAGTTCTAAACAATTGTAAATAATGCATTTGAACTATAGATAAATAAAAAACACAGTAACACATTTGCTTGGTGATCAGAAGATTTGTTTTCCTTGAATTTAAAATTTAAATTATAATTGGGGCTCC